AAGCCGGCGACTGATCTGCTTCGCCCAAGAAGAGCGCAATGATGGTGCCAACTTGGGCCAGTGAAGCAACGTCCTCCACAACTAGACTGAAGAACTTTAAAAGGACAGCAACTTGTCTGTCCCCCTTCCCCCAATTCCCCAGCACTGTTCCCATCCCCCAATTCCCCAATAACAATCTTTAAAAAATAAATAAATAAACTAACTTTAAAATAAGAAATTAAGACAATGAATTAGAGGGTTCATTCACAGCTATCTTTGCTTTATAAATATGATTCGTGGTCTTTCTTCTACACAGATGTACTGCTTGGTAAAAGATTGGCCTCCAATCAAACCTGAACAGGCTATGGAACTTCTGGACTGCAACTACCCAGATCCTATGGTTCGAGGTTTTGCTGTTCGATGCTTGGAAAAATATTTAACAGATGACAAACTTTCTCAGTACCTAATTCAGCTAGTACAGGTAAAATAATGTAAACTAGAAAAATAATGTTTTATTTTACTCTAACTCCATGCAACCCTCAAAAACTACTGTATTAACTGGTTTTATGCTTTTTTAAAAAGCATAGTGGTAACTACTTTCTTTTTAACAATTTTTCTTTAAAACTAACCACGCAAAAACTGACCCTGATTGATGTAAAATTGTTTTAATGTTTGTTTGTTTTAAAACACGTAGGTCCTAAAATATGAACAGTATTTGGATAACCTGCTTGTGAGATTTTTACTCAAGAAAGCATTGACTAATCAAAGGATTGGGCACTTTTTCTTTTGGCATTTAAAGTAAGTCCAATTATTTTCCCATTAAATTCTTTAGCTAGGTATTAGTTTCTTAATATATGTATAAATATGTATTACTTATATACTATAGTTTTGATTGTCTGGAAGAGTTTTCCGTTTGTATCAATCATGAGCTTCCCCTCAACTTTTTCTCTTAAACATTAAATAAGCAGTAAAATTCAAAATTGAATTTTGTACAGGAGAGCTGAAATATTTTTAAAGATTTTGATTCTACTTTAAGCAAAGTTAAATTTGCTAGATAATGTTGATTAGTGTTGCAGTTAGTTTCACTGTAGGTGGGAATTAAAATATCCCAAAATAAAGGGAAAAAACCTTACCTTGGAATTCAGAAGAATAATGACAGAATCTCAAGTTTCTAACTAGAAAACAAGCTAAGAATAAAAAGTAGTTTGTAGAATATGATATATCTAATATTCAGAGTCAGGGATCATACACTTTTTTCTAAATTTAGAAGATTTGTGATTAACATGGCTTTTTTTTAATGTTAAAATAAATTAAAAGTGGGATCTAGAAACTAGGTTTAAAATAACCTAAATTCAGAGATAGTATAGAAAAGGGACAGGTATGCCAGCAGAGTCAAATAGTACTCACTGAGCTCTTAATTCCCACCCTATTCATTTTATTTTTGTGCGTACTTTCCTTTTATTTATGTTAAAATATCTTGTGCTGAGATTAGTAAATGAAAAGTAGTTGAAATAAACCTAAAAGCCAGTTCATTAAATTTACATTTCTAGGAACTACCTGAAACCTTTGATTGTTTTGCTTCTACATAATAGGTTTTAAATCATTTTATTGTTAGAATGATTATAACATTTATTGGATTTAGAAAATGGGTTTTCTTATTAATTTCAGGTGTACAAAACAATGTAATAATTAGACATTTACACCCCTCTTATTTTCTCAAAAAAGATTATATGCATACTC